TGATACTAATATATATACAATATATATATATATACTTTTTTAATATTTATTCTTATTCCTAATATTTTTTCTATTGTGCGTAGGACATAATTATTAATTGCTATAAAAGTGCAAAATTTTCAATTTACATCATTGGCATCAGTGACGTAATCGCGCTATTTTGATGTAGTTCCCCAGTTCGATGTAAGATGCCGCCGATTGTGCCGTTGCGTATCGCCGCGATGCGTGCCAGGCCAGAGGCCAGAGTCGGCCAGACGCATTTGCGAACCAAGCGAAGTCGAACGTGTCGTGAAGCATTGCGACTTCTTTTTTTCTCAAGGTATTTCACGATCTTTTCGGCCAGCCCGGTGTCTTCTCGTTGTGTACGCGCGAGATCGATTCAGGCCCCCCTCGTCGACGACGATTCATGAAAGCGGTGACGAACGCTAGATCCGCCACCGCGTCTCGATGTAACGACATTTCCGGAAGGCAAGTCGACGTCCGTTCGCGGAATTTTTGGCACCGACGAGTCACCGTTCAAAAAAACGTGAGTCACGAAATCGTATTAAATTATCGCGCCTAATTTCACTAGAGATTGAAGTCCGCTTAATTAGGGAGGTTAAGTTTCACGATGTTGACAACGCGAGAAAACACGGTGATTTGATAGAATTTTTAATTACCGCTTCTTTTAAACAGCTACTTTTATCGTGAATATTGTTTGAATATTTTGGAGCAACAGAATATTTTAATATTAATGCTAATAATTTTTCTTTAATCAATGAGAAAAAACTTGTGCTTTCGAGAATTCTTTGTTTAAATTTTAATTGTTAATTTAATAGTTTATGACATCAGAAATTTTAGAATTATGTAATGAAAAAAGGCGAATTAATTTAAAATGGATTTTACATGTTTGCTATGAATAATATGTTTCAATAATTTTAATAATTAGTATTATTGCATATTAATAAAATATTGACTATAACATATGTCAGATAATTTACATAATCTATAAAATATATTCATAATTGTGGATAAAAAAATATTTTTATTAACTTAAAGAAAAAACATATAACAATGATGGCATTTACAAGAAAGTTTGTAAGAAATACAATTTATATAAAATAAAAATTCTTTTTGAAACAAAAAATACATATTAAATTATAATAAATTTATGACATTTTTATATACATGTACATGCATAATAACTTTGTCATCTAATTCTATTTATTTTTTTAGATATTTAAACATGTCAGAAGAACATCAGCTGCCTTCTGATTCAGATGAAGACGACGAAGATTACATTCCTGATCGTGTTGACAGTGATGTAGTATCTGAAGTAGAATCTGAAGGTGACGTTGAAAGTCCAGAGGATGAAAATGATGAGAATAAAAGGGAAATTGGGCGTAAAAAAGGTAAAAAGAGATCTAAGGGTCGAAAGAGTTTAAAGCGCAGGAAAATTATCGAAAACAAATCAAAAGTATCAGAAGAAGAAAATAAAGAAGCGGAAGAATGTAAAGAGACAAAACAACTTACTGAAGAAGAAGAAAAGAAGAGAGCTGATTCTCTTTGGGCTGACTTTATGAAAGATACAGGTAAAGCTATAAAAAATCTTAACAGAGCAAAGCATATAATATCATATATTACAATTACGTAATATTTAATTAGTTTCATTTTTATTACACATTGGATAGTACAAAATAATACTTTAGAAAGTTTTATATTTCAAAGAAAAATGATAAAAGTATAATGATAAGAGATTAGATATATAGAGATTTACCACATCTGTTAAAATTTTAATATTATCCTACCTCTACAATGTTATTACAGCCTTTAAAGATATATTTAAAACTCTTGATACATTTAAATTTAATGTTACAAGTTATAAAATAGAATCAATAAAATATGTAATTTTATTTGAAGAAGATTAATAACACCTAAACATTCAAAAGTGTAATTTTAAAATATTCTATTTTATAGCTGTTGTATCAAAACCAAAGCCACAAAATCCAATAAATAGATCAAACGAGAAATCATCACCAATACAAAAGCCAAAAATTCAGGAAAAAGTTCAGATAACTAAAATTTTTGAATTTGCCGGTGAAGAAGTGAAGGTTGAGAAAGAAGTACCGGTTGATTCTGCAGAGGCCAGATTATCGCTTTCCGCGGCCGAAAATTCCACAAAACCATCAGAATCCGCATCTGCGGCAGGCAAAGGGCGAGGGAAAGGCGGTATTAGGCGCGCCGGGTTAGGCGGCATTTCTTCTGTCTTGGGACAGATCGGAAAAAAGGCCAAAATTAGTACATTAGAAAAGTCCAAATTAGATTGGGACAACTTCAAGAAGCAGGAAAACATAGAAGAAGAAATCAATACTCATAATAAGGGCAAGGACGGATATTTGGAGCGGCAAGATTTTTTGCAGAGAGCGGATTTACGACAGTTTGAAATCGAAAAACAGTTACGAAATTCTAGCAGGCGCAGTACACGGTGAATTCGCATTTTCTATATATATCTCTATATGTCTCTTCTTTCGGGATTCTAAGATGATAATATCGCGATATAAGATATTTGCTCGCCGACTTGCCAAACTCGAACGCTTGCTACACACATTTAGCCTAATTAATTCATTCGAGTTTCGCGCTATGTTTTGAATAATAATACGCGAAGGGAGCGGCATTACCTCATTCGATTCGACGATAAACTGACTACGCTACCGATCGGCGGTCTCTCCGAGAAGTGACCGATCATTCCAGTGTTTTGAGACTAATTCCTCATGCGTACGTAATGTAATAGTTTAATGTACTCTCAGCGAGTCTTTGCCTCGGCCTGATGATCACACAGAACTTCGCATCGAAGCAGTATGTTTGAAGCTTTTGACGCTTCTTGAAAAGATTATGTAGAACCATGTAAAATGTGTCCATAGAATATTTTTTTATTTTGTTTCAATGGAACGCGCGATATGTTTGCATGTGTAGTGTGAATATACACAATATTCTGATAATAACGATTAGTCGGAAGTCACGAATGAATACAAAGAAATACGTGTGTTTTAGAAAATATAACATAATGACACACACATTAATGACATTAATTCATGACCACTGCCTCTTGGCAATGTATATGGAATACAGTACTGTATTTATAAATGGACCTCATACTAAGTATTGTAGGTTATTACATTGAAGCAGTAACAGCGAATTTTGTATGTTACTGTTATCTTAAGTTCTCACATAGATAAAATGGTATACATCGTTACTTTCATACAATGTATTAGACCACAATATCGATATGTAACACGTACATAAACATACTCAATAACCCAAATAATAATTTTCCATTCAACTCAGGTTAAAACTTCCTTGATGTACCGAATTTGAGAGCGTAATTCCACACAGGACTACTTTACATTTGTGAATTCTTTAACATAGAATAAATTATTGATAGGAAATGGCGTTTGAATGTGATTGGTTTTAAAATACCAATCTTTTGCAGCATGTCCAAGCAGGTACTATACCATACCCATAAAAATAATATGAAAAAAAATGTTTTATAAAGTATATGTTTTTTATCCACATTCATAATTCCTCTTCTCTTTAATTTGAACATCTCTTTTCAGATGTTTTATTTTATGTAAGGACATATAATAGACATCGTAGATTTAACAATTTTGAAAAAATATATATATATTACAGAGTGATTTAGAAAAATTACAATATTAAAAATACTGCAATTGTCAATTGATTACAGAATTCTCATATTAAATATAGATGAAATTTTAAGTATCAGATAGTTTTAAAAAATTATTTGGGAGATACTAATTCTCTGATTTAAAAAGTCTAATTATGCGTGCACCAAATCTGTTAATTCCTTTGCAAATGGTGTCTAATCCTTTGATAATCACGTTACGTTCTTCACTGCAAATTTCGATAATCAGACGAAAAAGTCATTAAAAAGCATTTAAAAAAATATGAACCTAAGCATACTAACTTTGATTTTTCTTGCAATAATTCATCTGGATATTTAAACCGAGGTTTCTTGTCACTTGCCGATGGTTCTGCAGTATGTCTGTCTGTTGGAATGTCATTTCTTAATATACTTTTAGATATCAGTCGATTTACTCTCTTTTTTCGTCTGGCCTGAAAAAGTCGACGATTGGCAGCAACATGACAGCTCATGTTCTTTTATATTTGTGATTATTATATACGTTACTTTTATATTAAGTGTGTGTGTGTGCGCGCCTTTTCTAATTAGTATAAATTTCTTTTGTTACGAAAGGGAATTTATTTTTTATTCTTTTTTAATTTCTAATTAAAAAAAATAACTCATGAATTATTAAATGTGTCCAAAATGTTGTTCCAGTTAAAGTATATATAGTTAAAAACTATCATATATTTGGAATGTTAAATAATGCAATTTTTATATTATTATCATTGTAGATTAACTTTAACGCAGCAACATTCGTGATCACTCGAAGTAATCTCATGAGACGTGCATTTACAAGCTCTTAGCTCATCCGAACTACGACCTCGCACACAGACACAAAGCCTCGTGAAACAGTCATGCCTCAGTCGATCACTTTCTCTCCTCGAAGCCTTTTTATGTCGACGATGCGATCTTTTTCTCTTCCTCTTGCTTCTCTCCGTAGACACGTTCTGTGAATTCGCATGTCCGTGCAAACTTCCACTCCGAGAGTCGTGATGCTCTGTGTCAAAAATTCACATGAGACATTCGTGAACGAGTCCACTAAAGTGTCAAATATTTGATTTGAAGACTCGTTTTAACACGTTTTTTTTTCTACCATTTTTGCGACAGGTACATATTTGTTTCATATAATTCTGGGAACTGCCGGAAATTCGTTCGAACGCGTTCGGTTCCGTGCTCCTTATGCTACACGTACAAATCAGAGAAATACGCTAAAAAGATATTAGATTTTAATATTTATTTAACATAAATATATATCATTTAACTTTTTTATGCAGATAAATATTATAGCGATATAATTGCCGAGCTTAAAACAATCATTTCGAAAATTAATATTTTTAAAGATTTTGTTTATGAGAACTTTTATATATTTTATTTTAAATTTTTATATTTTATTCTGTTTTTTCTTTTAATCTTATATTTTATTCTTTATATCTTTGGAGGCATTAACACTGTTTAATGTAAGATAGACATACTAACAATAAGTATTAATATATTAAGGTAATTATATCGTGAGAAAAAGTTGCTGTTATTTTAGCTTAGAGGAAAGAATCTGGTTGAGTCAGTAAGTTGACATGGAAGGAAGAATTCTTAAGAAACGCGGAAAAAAACAAGGTCAAATTTGTTTCCCGTGAGAATCTTTCGTGATATTAGTGGATGATGCATATGGCAATAATTTATTATTTTATGTCTCACCGTAACTTTTGTCGTAAATATGTCAAAATCGAGTTTCCAGAAGTCGATTGCGAGACATGGCATTTCTTACTGAAAGAAACATATTATAATGTAGCAAAGTCATAAAAAGATTGTAAAATTTTTCAATTATGAACATATTTTCTATATGTTCCACTAATTATCTTTGTTCGAGAAACTTTTTAATTTGACAATATTGATTCTAAAATTAGCAATTCCTCTAATGTTAATATATTATGTTGATATATTAATAATATAT